AACATATCAATCAAGAAGCATTTATTAAGTACTTGCTATGGCCAGGAAGTGGGCTAGGAACTGGGGATATAAAGGAAAAACAAAATTAAACAGACCTTGCCCTGAGGAGCTTACATTCTAACTATCTTTACCAATTGAATAAGGTAGTTAATTGTAATCAGTATCAATTTCATTTCTCTTGTCCTTTCCCCCTTTTTAAAGTTCTCAGCACCCTCCTTAAATAATTCAGGGTTAAATCCCTGTGATTATAGAATATATTTTCTCATTATTCTTATTTATTCTTATTTTTTATAAATTCCGATCCTAGCTCTATTGAGTTTAGTTAATCTTAGCTTTGTTGACTGTACACAGAAAGCTGACTCAGAGATAACTCTCACATCTATAATGTCTTCTTTTTGTTAAAATGGAGTTAATTTCATTCCTTGTGATGATGTTTGATATTCACCAGGTCCACTTTCTATAAATTATTTTTTTGAAGTAAGTATGATACTGGGGCTTGAGGCTTCTATAGAGTCGACAAGAGGGGTGTCAGATACATAGCCCAGCTATCAACTCTCCCAGGTGTGGAAAGGACAAGATTAAAATGTAATTGGGAAATATTTAGTAACATTAATAAAAATACAATAAAACATAGGCGTTCCATTTTAAAACTGAGTTGATATGTGGTCCATAGGGATCCTTATATATGGATTTTGTGGCCCCTGTTTCTATTTGAAATTCTATTTGAGGAGTTTGAGTTTGGTCTACAAGTCTGGCTTCTTTCTTTCTTTTATTTAAAATTTTTTTTTAAGCAATTGGGGTTAAGTGACTTGCCCAGGGTCACACAGCTAGTAAGTGTCAAGTGTTTGGTCTGAGGCCAGATTTGAACTCAAGTCCTCCTGACTTTAGGGACAGTGCTCTATCCATTGTGCCACCTAGCTGCTCCAAGTCTGGCTTATTTCAGTTTTTCCTTCTGAACCAAACTTTCTCATATATTTCTCCCTATCCTTAACCTTTTTTGCCTTTGCACTGAAGTCACCAAGCATCAGAGTGTATTTTGATTTGATTTTGAGGGTCTTTTCTAGTTCTCTACAGAATTTTTCTGCCATATCACCCTGATGTTGGAGCATAGATTTCATATTGCTCTTCTACTGGTTGTTGGCCTTCTTCACTGATGGCACCCAGTGAATGCCCATGCCCACAAAGGAGAATCCTTACTTGGGGCCTTCTCTACCCTCAGGCCACTTGGACCTAAGAAACAATTCCTCTTCCTTGGCTTCTGAGTTTGTGCTTTCACATGCTAGGCAAAGAGAATGGAGTCTCCAGCTTTATGAGTTTTAAAAAGTCAGGAAAATTAGCCATAGTAATTTAGGAATCAAAGTCCAGTCCAGAATTTATAGCATTGATTCTCTGAGGAATAAGAAGTGATCTTCAGGAAATATCTTCTGTACTTATCAGTGGAAGTTTGAAAAAGGACTCATGTACTAGTCATAACACATTTGGGCCCTGAACTTGGGACGAGTAATATGTAGAAACTGAACTGAGTTCCCCCCCTTCCCCGCCAACTGAGGTAGTGTAATAATAATAATAACAATGATAATAATAATAATAATAATAATAATAATAATAATAAAAATAGTAATAATAGTAACAGGCATTTATAAAGTACTTTAAGGTTTGCACAGTGCTTTAAAGTATTTTTTCATTTTGTCTTGACAAAAAAACCTAGGAGATAGGTGCTATTAGTACTTCCATTTTACAACTGAGGAAGAAGAGAGACAGAGGTTAAGTGGCTTGCCAAGAGTCACACAGATAGGGTCTGAGGCCAGATTGGAACTTGGGTCATTCTGAATCCAAGGCCAGCACTCTATCCATTGTGCATCCCAGCTGCCTTAGAGGAATACAGAGGAGAGTATGCTCAGAAGTATGAGGGGAAAATGTTTGCATACTTGTTCTTGATACATCTTTGAAGTAAATATCACTTTGTAAATGCTTTAAAAATGGATTTCTCTGATTATTATAGAATTAGAACCCCCCCCCCAATAGTTAAGGGTAACATGTTTCTTTGAAGTATTGCCATTTATACCCTTTGGCAATCTACCTCTTGGGATGATGGATCTTTCTCTTATAAATTTGTAGCAATTCCCTATAGATCTGGGAAATAACTTTTATTAGAAATGTTTATGCCAAAGATTTTTTCCAATATGTTTATTTTCTTCTTATTCTGTATGTATCAATTTTTGTTGTATAAAATTTGTTTTTATGTATTCAAATCCTATATGTCTTCTATTTATTGGTTACATAGTTTTCCTCTTTTTGAATACTGTAACATTTGTGGTTTCATTTTCTTCTAAAATTTTATTCATATATATGCATACATACACATATATGTATATTTAGACCATTATCTATTTGGAATTTATTATGGGCACAGAGAGTAAAAAGGAGATCTAATCAGATTTATATTCTTTGCCTATAACTGAACCATTCTTGTATTTCTAACATAAATCCTAATTGATAATGATGATGAATATTTGGACATATTGCTATATTCCATTTATTGACATTTTATTATTTGTGTATCACTATTCATTGATGATATTGATTTAACTCCTTCTATGAGGCAAATGTGGTTCTGTTCCATAAATCTTGTAAGAATAACATAAAGAGAACCATATTTCTAAAAATATTTTATATAGATTGAGTTTTTGAATGTTTGGTAGAATTCACTTATAAACTTAGTGCCTTCTTATATGGCAATTCATTAATGATCTGAATTTCTTCTTTGAGTTGGGTTTATTCAGGTTATTCTTATTTTGCTGCTGTGAGTATTTCCCATTTTTGTAAATGTACATCTATTTCTTTTGTATTCTCAGTTTCGTTGGCATCTATCTTTGCATACTAGTCTGAGAGTTGCATGTATTTCAGTAGCATTCCTTATGATCTCTGCCAACTCATTTGTGATTTTGATAATTTGATTTTTCCTCTCTCCTTGTTTTGATTGAATTTTTAAATGGTTTGTTGAGTTTATTGTTTTTTCCTTAAAACACACCATATACTTGTTGTACTTATTAATTCAATTTTTCTTTTCTTTCCAATTTTATTTCTATCCCTTTTGGTTTCGATAGTTTCTTGCTTTGGGCTTAATTTCGATGTATTAATTTGTTGATTTTCTAATTAGGTAATCTGAGAACAATTCATCAGTTTTCTAAATAAGGAGTATATGCTTTTGTTCAAGATGCTGGCATCTGGTTCCACATTGTTTGGATGTCAATATATCTACCCTGTGTCCCCATTAGCCAGTCATCAAATGAAAGACAACTTTCAAAAGCTCAGCTTAATATTTATTACTTTATTTAGCTCCATTTCAAGAAACTCTCTGATTACAAATATCAATTTTCTTTGCATACCTGAAAACAAAATACAGCTTGACCAGTCAAATAGAATGTTATCAAGAGCAATGTGTTTGTATTTGAGAGAAAGGCAAGTCCATTGTCAGAACATTTTTAAAAACCTAATATTGACCAGGCAAGAACAATTTGCAAATTAATTATTTAGGACTCATATATTTGAAATTCAGATAAAGTGGTGGCCGCAATTCAAGCATGATGTCACTTACAAGTGGGTACTTTTAGTTTTATAAAAAATAATATGGCTCAACTTTTCTTTTTACCCATGGAAATGGAGTTCTGGGGACCCGTCTACAATTCTAATCAAAGATATAAATTACTGCTGAAGGTGTTTTTAGGACATGGTGATTTCTGAAGTGGAGAATTCAAAATGAAATTATTCTTAGTTTATGGGATGTCTTTGAAGTGGTTTGCCCTGAACTATTGTAAGACAGTGCCAAATATGTGGGACTATCAGGCATAGGGGTTGAGGTCAGGGTTAGGATCATTTCTATTAAGGTCACTGAATTAAGGTCTTCTTCCTCAGAACAGAAAGGATCCTCAACCCAACCAAATTGAAGAGTTTGAATCAGAATTTAGAATCAATCATACAACATTTGTTTGTGCAATCAAAGACTTCATTAATAGGAGCACAATGTCAAGATCAAAGGACACCATGATCCCTGTACTTCACCCTAGCTAGCTCACAATCTGAATATTGGGATCAGTTCTGGACATCACATTTTAGGCAGGACATGGATTTGCTGCAATGCCTCCAGCTGGGAGCAATAACATTTTTGATTGTCATAGCAAGATTGGTCAAAGGAAAGGGGGATGCTTAGCTTGGAGAAGAAGAGGCTTGGAGGGGACAGGATAGCTGTTGTCAAGCATCTCAAGAGCTGTCATGGGGTAGGACAACTAGACTTGTCCTTCTTGGCCTGGATGGGCAGATGTAGGATAAATAGAGGGAAATTGCAGAGAGACAGGCAAATATTGGCTCAATAGATAATAATAATAGCATATATATATATGTATATATATATCACTTACTATGTGCTATGCATTGTGCTAAGCACTTTACAATGATCTCATTTGATCCTCACAACAACCCTAGGAAGTAGGCGCTATTATCAGCCTCATATTACAGATGAGGAAACTGAGGCAAATGGGTTGAGTGACTTGCCCAGAGTCACACAGCTAGTAAGTGTCTGAAGACAGATTTAAACTCATGGTTTTCCACCTAGCTGCCCTTTAATAGATTCCTAACAAGAGGAATGGAGAAGGGAGCAAGTATTTATTAGGTGCCTACCAAATGCTAAGTGCTCTGCTAAGCGTTTTTTTTATAATTGTTGCCCTATTTGATCATTTAAGCTGCCCCTAGATTTCATCCAGGAAGAGCTAGATGATCATTTGTCAGGAATGTGGAAGAAGGGATTTGCATTCAGGTATGACCCTGCATGTGTTGCCAACTTTGGGTTTTCGCAATTGTATGAAATAACTTCTCCACTGGAGTCCCTGTCCTGTGGGAGCATGTCAGGAATTCTGACGACCTTGCTCTAACATTAGGAAAACATTGGGTCAAAACTTTCATTGACAAAACTACATGTTGGTGGACAAACACACACATTCACATACACACTTCTCACCTTTTATTCTAAAATATTCATACATGTACACACATATATATTCACAGAGACAACTTACAAATGTCTGCATTAGTACAGTTGAGTTTTTAGAATTATTCTTTTACCACAACAAAATGATTTTCCTGTTTCTATTTGGCAAAGGTTGAAACGAAAGTGAATCTTCATTTCCTGAGTTCTCCCTGAGAAGGTGGCTACAGGGTGAACTGGGCCAGGGGACAGAGCTGAGTTCAACTTAAAAATCAACCCTAGCTGGGTCTGATCTAACCACAGCCAACGGGAGAGCTGACTCCTTTGATTGTCTGCTCTGGGGCCTCTGTAGGGGATCGCTGTGTTTCTGTGATACAGTTAATGGAACACGGAGTCATGGTTCTTCTATCCACACTTAATTTAACTTCTGTTACAAGATATAACATGTTCTTCATTTTCTTTATGGTTCAATTTGCCAGTTAGCACAGGCGTCTCTGTTTGTACAAGCCCAGGAATAAGAACACAGCTCTCTGATATGACTGGATGGAACATCACCCATCCCAGCTCATCCCCAGGAACAGACTGATCACAGAGCATGTTTTCTGAAGCTGCTATAGTTAGCGAGAGAATGTTCTCTGTAGACCCCAATTTTATCCTCATTCCACGTGAAGGGGACTTTCTTCAGGAACTGAGTGCCCAGGAGTTGACTTATTGTTGTTGTTATTATTAATATTATTATTATTAGTGTTCATCTTATGCATCTCCTCAATTTGCTCTTAAACCAAGCACTTTCCCCAGAATGATTCAAGGGAGTTCTATCTGTGGCAACATGAGATGAGAAAAACTACACTAAAGGAATGGGCTGTTGGAGGGGCAGAATAAGGGTGGAGAGATGGGGAGACTTTTCACTTTCTAGACTCCAGAAGTTCAAGAATAAGCAGCCACAGTCAAGTTGAGGAGGTTATGGTCTTTCTCTCTCTACAGATGAATATTTTAAAATCTCCATGAGCAGAGAAGTTTGGCTACTTCGAGTGTTTCAGGACAATGACTTTTTGAACTTAGGAAAGCATCTCTCTTCTAGACACATAAACTCCAGCCCCCAAATGGAGAGACTGTTCAAGTTAAATGATTTTATTTTGGATGTGGTTGTCAAGTGTGAAAGAAGACTCTAGCTCAGACTTCCTGTTGCCTTGTCCACTGGCTCCGGCTTGCTCTATTTTCTCCTCTGGGAGGTTTTCCTTATTCCTTCTGGCAAACACCTGGCTGATTTCTGCATAAGTCTTGTTTTTGGTCTCAGGAAGGACAAAATAGAAGTAAGTCGCTCCTAGTATGCAGATTGTGGCAAAGACCAGGAAGCAGTATGTTTTCAAACCTTCCTGTAAGCAGATAGATAGGAGAGCTCCATTGAAAACATTCCAACATATTTAGCAATAGATCATCACAACTTCGGATTTAGGAAAGGGTGGAGACTCAGTTAGTTTGAAAAACAACTAACAGTTCCAAAGAATGTACTGATTTTGAGAATGTCATACCCAGGAAGCACTATTATTCTATTGGCCATTTACATAAAAAGGCTTTAAAAAATGCCTCAAAAAGAGACCAAGAAGTTTCTATAACTTAGTTTTCATATGTTACTTCCTGAAAGTAAGCCACTATGATGACAAAATGTACATAAGAACTAGAAGTTATCCTGAATGCACACTTGTAACATGCATTCAACAGTTAATAAGCACTTCTTATATACAAGGTGCTGCAGATCATTGATTAAAAATGATGTAATCCTTGATCTCAAAGAGTTTGCCTTCTGCTAAAGAGAATATAGCACATACATATAAAACAAAGTAATAAGTGATTGGGGCAAAGCAGGGATCCAAAGTGTTCTTGGAAAGCTAGAGCAGGGAGAGAAGAATCACTCTCAAGAATTATTTATTAAATGACTACTACATGCAACGTCCTGTTCTAGGTGTATCGGGAAATGCAAAAATAAACGAGACGTCCCTACACTGAGAAGTTTACAATGTACTATGGAAAATGCATTCATTTATTCATTCAACAAATACTTAGTTACTGACTTTTCTGTGCAAGGCACTGTGCTAGGCACTGTGTTATCAATTAATCAGCAAATATTTATTATTCTGTGCCAGACACTGTGGTAAATACTGGAAACACACAGAAAATGTCAACATAGTTCCTGTCCTCAAGGAGCTTACATTCTAACAAGGGAGACTACTGTGCATAAATAGGTACACACCAGATACATCCAGGATAACCTTAGAATAGAAAGCATTAGTAGTGGGGAGGGTTAGGAGAGGCCTCCTGCCAAAGCAGTGCTTCAGCTGAGTCTGGAAGGAAGTCATAGATTTGAAGAGGCTGAGGTGAGGCAGAGAACATTTCAGGCATGGGAGAGATAGTCAGTTCAAAGGCAAGGAGACACGAGATGGAATGCTATCTGTGAACAACAGCAAGGCTCATAGAATCATTCAATTCAAGCTGGAAGGTACCTTTGAGGTCTTTGAGTCCAATCCCTGCATTTTACAGATGAGGAAACTGAGGAACAGAGAATGTAAGTGACTTGCTGAGGGTCACACAAGTAGTAAGTATCTCAGGTAGGGTTTGAGGTTGGCATTGCTCAGATCCAATGTTGGCATGTTTTGCCACTTCGCTGTCTGCCAGGGGGGTGGCCTGTAAGGTGTGTAAGGGCGAACAATCACTGACGAGGTGAAAAGAGGACAGGTTGTGAAGGGCTTTAAATGCCAGAGAAATTTTATGTTTGGTCCAAGAGGTAACAAGCAGTCCCTGGAGCATTTTAAGTGCAAATGTCATGGCTAGACTTACACTTTAGGAAAAATCTTTTGAATTGAAGATGGAAAGACAAGTAAGACGAGTCAGAGAGATAAGTTAGGAGGCTTTTGCAGTACCCAAGGTGAATTGTAGTTCTGAACTAGAGTGGTGGCTATGTGATTGGAGACAAGCTATACAGAAGAGATGCTGTAGGAATAGAAACAATAACTAGATGTGTGTGGTGAAAGTGAGGAGGTGACGACTTGGAGGCAAAAGACTGGGGCTGAATATCTAGCTCTGTGCATCACCAACATGGTGGTGACAATTAATCCCATGGTAGTAGAGGAGAGAATTAAGGGAGAGTGTAGAGAGGAAGGAGAAGAGAGCCTAGGACAGAGCCTCGGGGGTACACCTACAGTTAGTGGACTCGACGTGGTTAGAAATACAGCCAAGGTGACTGAGAAGGAGTGGACACATAGGAGGAGAACCATAAGAAAGCAGTGTCATGAAAACCCAATGAGGAGAGAATATCAAATAGAAGAAGGTGTGATATCGTGTCAAATGCTGCAGAGAGGCCAAGAAGGACAATGGGATCACAGGAACAGCATGATACAGTGGAAAGAATACTGAATTTAGGATTACTAGACCTGGGTTCAAATCCTGGCTTTTCCATGTGTGATTTCTGTGTTCTTAGGTCATTCATTTAATCTCCCTGGGCCGCATTTTCCTCACTTATAAAATAAGGGAATGTTCTAGATGATGCCTAACATCTAAATCTATGTTCCAATTTACCACGGGATATTAAAAGTTAATGGAGTTTCCGAAAAAGACAGCCTTATAGCCAGAATAGTTTCAGTGTTGGGCAAACATTGGAATAGAAGTTACCCGGGTGGAGGCTACATCTTCCATGAAACTTTCTCTGACTTACCAATGTAAAGAAACCCTTTCCTTCCTCCTTAGGCCCCTCCTAATAAGTTTATAGACCTGGAGCTGGAAGGAGCTGGAAGCCTATCTAAGATGTATCTATCTAGTTCAACCTCTACTCAAATCATACTTTTTTCTTCATTGCATCCCAGGGAAGTGATCAGCTGGACTCTGTTTGAAGCTGTCCAGTGACAGGGAATTCGCCACCTCCATGGCAGCCCATGCATTTCTTGTAAAGGTCTAATTAGTGACTAATACTAGGGACGTAATAATGCTTGTCAATTGGCTGAAGCTGTGCTTCTCTTTCGCACTTACGTTCTATTTTATAGAATAGTCATTTTTGTTTAGCAGCTTAATAAAGTTTTTTTTAATCCAACTATGCACTTGTCTCCCCCTAATAAATTTTAACATCCTTAGTGGTAGAAATCTTATCTAATTTATCTTTGTATCTTCCCTGCCCTCTACAGCTGCAGCTGTCTGAGAGGTAGCATGGTACAACAATCACTACCACCACCAACTACTCGTTCAGTCCTTGTAGTCATAACTGACTCTCAGTGACTCCATTTGAGGTTTTCTTGGCAAAGATACTGGAATAGTTCATCATTTCTTTCTCCAGCTCATTTTATAGATGAGGAAACTGAGGCAAACAGGGGTAAATGACTTGCCCAGGGTCACAGAGCCAGTAAGTTTCCAAGGCTGGATTTGAACTCAGGTTTTTCTGACTCCAGGCTTGGCACTCCATCCACTGCACCCCCCAGCTGACCCCAACAACAGCTAACATTTACATGATGCTTTAAGGTTCGTGAAGTTCTTTACATGTGTAAGTATAGATAGAAAGCCAGTCTCAAAGCCAGGATGATTTGGGTTCAAGTCACACTTTTGACTCATGTTGGACTTACTTTCTTTGTGCTCTAGGAATCTTTCATCTATGCCTCTGTCTCTGTCTCTTCCTCTCCTGCCCATTAATCCTATTTCTACTCTCTGGGGCCAATGGAACTAGTCGATCCTCCTCCAGAAGATGGCCCTTCCCATACTTAGAGGGTATGTTACTTCAGAGGTTTACTCTCAGGAATCCAAGTATTGCACAAGAATTGGGTGCTGGAGTTAAGTCAGATGCACTTGAGTCTCAGCGATGAAACTGGAGCCATTGGCTGCTATAAATAAGAAAGCTGTCAACTTCACTGAGGGAGCGGGACACCAAACCGATTTCAATTCAGCATTTATAAGACACCCGCTGTATGCAGGTCCCTGGGTCTGGTGCAGGGAATACAGATTCAAAAATGCTGGTTCCTGCTCTCAAGAAGTCTGCCTTCTCTTGGGAGGATACATATCAAACATAAGTTTGATAAAGGCAGAAAGTGGCGGGGCAAAGGACAGATTCTGAAAACAAAAAACACTTTTGGAAAATTAGATTAAGGAAAGATTGCTTTCAGTGAGACAATCAGGGACCTCTTTATAGAGCAACTTGAGGTGAGCCTTGAAGCAAGCAAAGGTTTTCATCACGGATGACTTGAGGGGTGGGGCTATAGAAAAAAGCACTGACTTTGGAGTTAGAAGACCTGGGTTCAAATCCCACCCCTGATGGTTAACGTCTATGTGACCTTGGACAAGTCATTCAACCTCCAGGGATTCAGTTTTCTCATCTGTAAAATGGGAGGGGTAGATTACATCAGGGCAAGGGTCTGACCTGTGTGAATACAAACAGATGGAAGAGAATGCAGGATGAGATTGGGTACAAACTAGACCCTTAAACCTAGACCACTGGGTACTCTATTATGCAGGCTGGTTTATCTTCTCACGTTATTTTTCTCTTTCCCTTTTCCCCTTCTCCCCATTAAACTTGGTGTCAGAAAAGGATCTGATCACATTCATTTATACCTCAGTATAAACATTGGCCACAGTACTTCCTCTCCTAGGAGTCTTGCATTTTAAGTTTTATCTCTTATTTTTTGAATGAAAGGGCTTGTCTCCTGTGAAAGGAATTTAGGCATCCAGAGAAGTCTGGGTAGGGGATCTGTAGGGAACATCATGGATTAGGAATCAGAAGGCTAGGTTCAAATTCTGGCTGTGCCACTCATTCATTGTTTGATTTCATACAAGTCACTTGATCTCTCCAGGCCTCAATCTCCTCATCTATACATAGGGATATTACTTATAATATCTACCTCACAGGATTCTTCTAAAGATCAATGAAATAACAGTCGAAAATGTTTTGTCACTTGTAAAGAAGTAGGATACAGCTAAAAAAGGCTGTTATTTGAAGAAGTGCTAAATGGAAATTGTTGTGATCAGGGACCATGCTCTCTTTCTCTGTCTTGTATTTTAAGGAAGATATTATTTTCTAGAGATAAGGGTGGAGAGCATTCTTTGCCGTGTGATGGGCCCAGAAATGTAAAACAGGTAATTGGAGCATTTCCAAAAGATGTCCCTCTAGGGCACTGCCCCTGAAGTCAGGAGGACCTGAGCTCAAATCCAGCTCTTAACGTTTACTAGCTGTGTAACCCTAGACAAGTCACTCCATCTTGTTTGCCTCAGTTTCCTCATCTGTAAAATGAGCTGGAGAAGGAAATGACAAATCAATCCAGTATCTTTATTTTTTAAGGACATTTTTGTTCAAAGTTTGGAGTTACAAATTCTATCCCTTCCTCTCTACCTCCCCTCCCTTCTCCCT